CATGGTGGAACGTGCCCATGGACACATGCAGGGCTGGAGGAACAGGCAGGGAGCTCAGCAGGCAAAGGGCAGCTTGGGTGCTCGCTCTGCATCGCGTCCCTCGCTGGATGCCATGGTGGGAGCACCAAGGGGAAGGTGCCAGCTGAGCTCACACATTCAGCAGCTCGTTAAGCTCCCCAATTAATTGCAAGCGTGTGCTGATGACAGGTTGCTGGTTGGCTGCTTAGTCTCAAAAATACTTTTGGATTAACAGTGCAAGAGAGCTCCATAAATAAAAAGGGGACTTTCCTTTTTTCCAATGACTGAAAGTAACCATGTCTGGAAAGGCATTGATGTATTTGCTGAGTAAGGCCTTGAGCAGGTTCCTCCATGTTCTTAGCAAGACCATCCATGGAATCCATAAATAGGGGGTGGGAGGGGGAATTCTTCTTGGACAGAAGGGGGAGATTGCTCATTTTAGTCGCTCCACGAGTCCCTGCGTCAGTCCGAGGTGCAAAAGCTGGGATCTGGACAGGCTTGCCAGGTGAGGGAAACATTCCAGGAGCTTCTCCCAGCACAGTTCCAGCAAGCTGGGCACCACCAGCCACATTTTGAACAGGGAGCCAGTCCGTTTGTTTTCGTGGATGTTGACCACCCCTCCGTGCACGTACATGCAGCCAGCCTGGCAGGGGAAGGGGGACAGGAGTTAGAGAGGCAGGAAAAGCAGGACTGGCCTTTATTCCCACCTCCCACCCCTCAGCAGGGCTGGCACTGCCTCAGGCACCCGCTCTGGGATCCCCTGAGTCAAGGAGGAATCACTGCTGGAAGGGCCATGTCTCATCCTAAACCACTCACCCACCACCTCTGAGCGCTCTGCTCTGAGGTTTGGGTGATTTCCAACCCAAGAAATCCATTTTAGGAGTGTGGCAGAGCCCTACTCGTGTTCCAGCTAAAAAGAATGTATTTTTAAACTCCACCCACCTCACACAGCCACCCTGCATTCCCTTGGCTCAGCACAAGCCTGCTCCAGGGATGACAGGAGCACAGAGATGGCAATAACTCAGCTGCTGAGTGGGTTTTTTTTCCCCACAGGCTGGCAAAGAAAGGGCATTCCAGCTGTCCAGGGAACACTGAGCTGCCTGGGAAACACCTTTATCAGCATTCCCAGGAACAGCTGCATTTGGAACATTCCCCAAATGCAGTGACACCAAGCAATGTGATCTCTGCCCTGAGCAGCTGAGGGAGGTGAGGGCACAGCCAAAGGCACTTCTTGCTGCCTGGTAATTACCAATGCCAGCCTTCTGCTTAAGGCCAAAAGCTCTGGCAATACCAACATCCCTTAGTGGCTTCCAAAGGGCTGGAAACATCCAATCCTTCACCTCAAGCTGCTCTCACTAGGATAAAATCACTTTATTCAGGGAGTATTTGTGCTTTTTTTTTTTTTTTTTTAAATTTTACAAGCAGGAACTGCTGTTCCCACACAGGCTTTAAAAGCTCAAATTCTGCATTATTTCTTTCAGAAAGCAAAATCCACAGTGTGGTTGCACTCCTCAAAGAGCAGCAGGAAGAGGAGCCTCCCAAAAGCTGCTGCATGCAGTGGAGGTCACTTCCCTGGGAACAGCAGCTCTGTCTGCAGCCCAGAGCAAGGTAAGAGTGCTTGGAGGAACAGGAGGAGTCACTTACTGGGGTGACAGCAGCACAGTGGAAGTACACAGGCTCTGGCATGGCAGCTGGCAGCTTCACCCACTGGAAAGTCTGCAGGTTCAGCTTCCAAACATCTCCCAGGATCACCTCTCCGTTGTAGCCCCCACACACGAACACATCTGCGAGAGAGGGGACATGGGGAGCTGCCAGGGACAGCTGGGGGACAGCTCAGGGATCCCCCTCCCACAGGGTTTGGGATCAGGAACTGCTGCACCTCAACAAAGGCTCCCAGGAGCTCCCAGATCAGGACACACAAAGCAGAGACCACCCAAAGACTCCCAGACTGGCTTGGGTGGGANCCCAGAGCTGCTCCCCAGCCTGTCCTGGATGCTGAAGTCTGAAGATTCCATCTCTGGCTTTCCAGGCCATGCAGGTGGGTTGTGCTGAGATCAGGGTGGCCAAGCAGGACTTCCCTCTCCTGAGGCTGTGCTGGCTGTCACCCATGGCTGTGCTGTCTCCACCTGAGGGGTTTCAGTATTTCCCAGAATCATCTTTTCCAGGGTTTTACCAGGCACTGAAGTGGGACTGACAGCCCTGTGGTTCCCATGGTCATCCCTTGAAAAGTGGGAGCAGTTTCCAGCCAGCTGAGAGCTCTGCAGAGTCCCAAGACTGCTCCAAAACCATCGACAGAGGCTCTGTGACAACCTCAGAACCTCCAGAGATTTCCAGAGTAAGGACAGCCTGACAACCTGAGGGATGTGCTTGCTCAGAGATCCTGGATGGCTCCAGGATCACCCTGGGGATGAGGGGAGTTGCTCTTTAAAGCAGCTGAGAGAAAAACCAGCACAGGGATGGCTGGGCTGCTCCAGGACCAAGGTCCACAAGGCAAAGATGGAAGTGTGGATATTCAGCTTGGCATGGAAGGAGCTGCAGGGATGGTCCTGCAGGTCCCTGCAGGGCAGGCCAGGAGAGCAGGGAGCCCTTGCTGCATCCAGCAGCCAGGCAGCACAGGAGGGGTTGGAATGCACAATTGCTGTGAAGGTGCAATGCAGGGCATGCAGACAGCAGAGCTCCAAGCAGCTCCCACCACTTCCTGCAGTCCAAGCACCTGAGAAAGCCTCAGCTGTGAGGCCCAGACTTTTTCTGAGCCTTGAGGGGGGAAAAAAAGCAGCAACTGAAGCTGGAGAAAGAGGAAAATCTATTCTCACCACCAGGGGAAGCTTAATTTTGGGACAAGGGGTGAGTTCCCTATGTGGGGGCAGAGACTCCAGCAGGCAGCACCTTTGGATTAACAACATGAAGACAATGCTATGGTTTATTTGAACATAAATGCAATTTCTTAAAAAGAAACTAAAACCTCAGAGTGTAACCTCTGCCTCTGATGAAGAAGAAAGCATTGGGAAAAGCTGATTTTAAAAACAAAAGGCACTTAAAAATGGGCTCCAACTGAAAAGGATTTTGCACAAACCTCATGCCTGGAGCTGTTCAGAGTTCAGTGGCCACTTAAACAAATGCAGTGTAGAGAGCACAAGAGGAGCAGAGCCACCCCTTCCTGTGCACAGACAATGCCTGTCCCCACAAGGAGGGACAGTTGTTCCCTCTCCCCTTTTTGGATGCTGTGTGACCCACAAAGCCATTCCCAAACCAGCTTTGAGTCACATCTCCCACCCTCAGGGGAACATGAAACAAGAAGAAAAAAAAGCCAATTTTTGGGATGTGTGGGAGGAAGGCAAACCAAAATCTGGGAGATGCTGAGCAGGTTCAAAGAGCTCTGACATCCACAGGGTAAGTTTTTGCTGCAGCTCATTGTGGGTGCAAAGCGAGCTGAAAAAGTTCAAAAAGCCTCAGGAAAAACCTTTCCCTGCCCACCCCCAGTAAA